TGTAACATGTACGGCTCCGCGAAAGTTTTTTACGAGTAAATTAATATCTCAGGAACCATGGAGGTTGGGAAGCTGAAATTTTTGGGTAGTGAGCCCCTGCCCGCGCTCAACCTTGCCTATTCAAATTCAGCGTTCGCTCGCTGTTGAGTATCACCTACGGCCTCGTGAGAATTTTGGCGATTAAACTATTAACTCGAGAATCATCAGGGAAAGATATTCACCCTTCAAGATTTCGAATCCAGCTTTCATGCGCTGATGCGTGAAATTTTTAACAATTTTCCAATTGTTGAACTATTTTTGCATGGACAAAAGTACAACACAGTGAAAATTATTAATGGGCAATCGTTCGATGGGCTGAATTGCGCAAAACGCATGATCGCACCGGCTAGTCTTGTGCGCGTTATTTATTTTATTTCGGACCAAGAAGATTTGCTTACAACAACTTGTTGGGTTTGTAGTTTTAATTTCTTTATAATTTCCATAATTTTTAAATACCAGAAACAGGCAGTCGTTGAAGAGGCCCCGTGTTTTCTTTCTTCGTCGTCTTACATTTCATCATTGTCGCTGTTTTCGGAAAGTTGTCGTAATCGCATTCTCAGATTAGGTGCCTGGACTACCGATCTTAGCATGAGCGCTTCAATGGTATGTTTTAGCGAGAAATCGCTTCAGATGCTCATGTAAATTCGTAGGGCTGTAAATTTGCCTCTGCGAATAGTGAACTTGCGTTCTGCAGCTTTTTTAGATTTTTTCGGCAAGTGTTTACTGCCTTCGGATTGTTTTGTTGCTAGTAAATCTTATGAACAAACGCTTTCTATAAATTATTATAATACATATTTTCTTTTATCTGAATTTCTCGATGTGGGTGCATAATTTTCAGTTGATAACAGATGTGCTTATAAGTGCCCAACTAGCATTTCGGATAAAAAAAGATGATAACTTCTTGCAGTGATGGCATTATCATCGAATTCATCAGATCCATAGGGCATGAATTTTATAAAGCTCTCGCAGTTTTCGCCTCTATCGATACTTGGCCTAAGAAAAGGGTGCCGACAACTAAGAGAGACGAATACTGTTTCGCCAGGCAAGGGCGAAAAGGAAAATTTGCAAATCTACCGCTCCATTTTTTTAATTTGTGTTTTTTCATGAAGATTATTACCAACTAACGAGGCCGTTCGAGAAGCAGCAACCGAAAGATCAAGCCACATATTAAAGTAGTTATAGTACAGTGGTCTGCATTTTCACTCTAAACTAGCTGCTGGAGCTCGTAGAGGAATATTAATTCTCCCCTTTCCTTCTTTCCTTTTCACATTCTTGACCGCCGTTTAGGATGAAGGATCAGTGCATATTTTTGTGGCTTTCATAAGACCAAATTTCAGGCGTAATGAACCGCAACGGTGGTTGCAAAACGTAGCAATTTTAACTACCACAAAAGGCGCAGGCAAATTTTGCTTAGAATGCAATCGAATGGCACCGCTGCGAAGCCATCACTGTCGACTGTGCAATATGTGCGTGCTAAGGAAGGATCATCACTGCTTCCTAACGGGCGCTTGTGTTGGAATTGCCAACCAGGTTCGTTCAGTGTTCCACAAGTGAATTTGCACTCATCCGACAGGATGTTACCGGAGTAAGTTTAGAACATGCTTAGTGAGGTCTTGATCATGACGTGCTTTAAATAAGGCTTGCGAGTCGGAGTACTGTAGGAAGTTCTTTATTTTGCTTAAAGTGAGACTTAATTACAAAAAATGGAAAAAAAAAATGAGAACGGGGCATTACACACAGTTAGCACAAAACGCATGATCGCACCAGCTAGTCTGGTGCGCGTTGCTATTTATTTTTCATTGATTAGCTGTTTTTCCATCATCGTATTTCTTCTCGCACATGATCAGCTGGCAGTTTTCCCATTCTTCACCTCGGTCTCCTTTATTCACATGATCACATTTATACCTGTTCACGCGTGCATGATTCTGTTTGTTCACATATACCATATACAGCTTATTCGCATGATTGATATTCTCATATATTCCCCTCCCGCTCTTCCTTCCCCCTGATCTCATTAAAAAAATTTTGCATTTTTTTTTATAAACGCAAAAAACAAATTTCTCACATACAGGAAGAGTATCAGACTGTTCGTAAAAAGAAAGGAAAAAGTATAGTTTTTAAAAATAGGATAATTTTTTAAAATCTAAATT